CACTTACATCCCTGTTTTGTGTATAAAACTTAACCAACGACGGACGTAGTTTTAAACTTTCGTTTTTCTTTTATCAAAAGACATTCAAACAAGTAACAACATCGTTTTAATTGAGAATCTTAAAAAGGTACATATAAGCCGGAGCTACATGTTCGGTAATTTAACTTTCGTATACATGATTATTTCCTACTATCGTTTAAAAATACGTAATAATAAATAGGGAAATTAGGCAAAATAACAAGCAAAACTTTATAAATTAGCTGAATAGCAATAATAGGAAATGGCTACGGTATTCTGTATATTTTTTACAATATTACCAAAATTGGCCTCACTTTACCGGTTGCGCGAGACGGTGATATGTAATAATAATGAAAAAAGAAAAAAAAATGTTAATAAAAAAAAGGAAGATATTTATTATTAATATGATTTTCGTAAAACGATATGATCGAGAAGGGGTGAGAGGAGAGAAAGGGGAGGAGAATCGTAGGAGAGTAGAAGTCGGATTTTCATATCAGAAGATAATGACATCAAATCCGTGGGGACGATCCACCCATTTTCGATTTTAAGTTGAAAGACGAAGGTAAACGGAAGAGAGGAAGGAAATCTGGGAAATTTGTAGGTTTGAAAGGGAAGAAGTAGGGGAAATCGGAAAAAGGTAAGCAGAGATGATGAATCAATAGAAGAAAAGCTGATAATATAGAACTTTGATATGTAACAAAGTAGTAGCCTTATTTGTAAGAATCCTGTGGCTATGTCACGAATATAAGAACTTTACTACTTATTCTTGAATGTTAAGGTATTTGGTTATGGGATGCGAATGGTTGAAAATGAAAAATGATAATTTAGAAGTGATGAGAGAAAGAAATTAGATGGAGATCGTGAAGGTTTCTTAGTTTTATGTTACTGGTGACTACTATTTTTTGTTGATTTTGTTATCTCTCAAGAACTTAATCTTATGCTATTTCTACTCTGTCTGTATTTGTGTATGTTTCTTCTTTATGCCAGAACCATAAATTTTTCTTAGATAGTAGTCTATTTATATATTTATTATATTCACTTATTGTCTATTTGTTTGCAGTACAATGTGGGTGAACTACAAATTGGATGGTTCTTGGATATGTACGTTTTTGAAAGACTAATTTTTTCTCAGAAGGCATATAGATAGACTAGTATCTAAATTGTTGTATGTATATTTTGTTTACAAACACATAACAATTTTTTTTTTCTGATCTGTATACGGGCGCATCAATGATTTTAGAATGGAATAGACATTTGCTCTATCTATGTACTGTAATAACAAAGTTCTCTCTTCTTTAAGCAGTAAAAAAATCGCAAATCATCACACTAAATAGCACAGTGGTTCGTTATTGACCACACTCACACTAAACACCAAATAACCTACTTGCCTTTACTTATTGACCTCATAAAAATTCTATGAGGCAATTTATTTTAATCTAAAATAGTAAATCTGTAAATGTGTGATAATGGTTATGTTAGTGGCTAAAGTAAACAAAACCGACATGTCATCGGTATCTTCTAACACTGCATCGTCAACGTTGGGGTCAAATTGGCAAATTTTAAGTCAACTGGTTAGTGCCTTAGATATGTTTTTCTCCTATTTATATTCTTCATTTCTTGTTCCATTGTTGTTATATGGCAAATTGACCCTAATAAATATGGTACATAAGTAATTATTATGCATAAAATCATTTTATTTTGATTTGGATAAATCATCTATCGCCACGTAGCATGAAAAAAATTTCTAATATTTTAGGTAAAGTTTACTACTTAATGATCCAAACGGTTTTGGGTCTGACCTCACAATGGTCCGAGCCCACATGAAAAGAATTATGGACCCAACGATTCCAGTAGCAGATGTCGCTATCCGAAAGAAAAGAACCCGGGGAAAAAGAGTCAAATGCACAATAGCATAGTTGTACAATCAGACAAGTGGCATAAAAAGACATATAACTCGAGTGCATCGTACGGATCTCCGACAACCCAGATCTGAATCAGCTCCGAAACGTGGAACCCGATATCCGAACCCGGGCAGATAACACTCTATAAATACTTCACTACCTACTCCATAATGAGGATCATAGTTTTTTGGAAAAAAAAAATTGACTCTTTCTCTCTCGAATTCAAGGTCCATTCTCTTAAACCTTGAAGTTCTTTCCGACTGTTTAGGGCCAGTCTCTCAGATCTTCTTCATCACTCTTCTTTGGCCATCCTTTAACCTGAGCTTCATTCATAA